AAGCTGGGGCCAACGGTGTAGATCTCGTGGATGATGTCCTCCATGCCGTGGATGCCATACCTTCAGCTAGAAGAGAATGGCATGCCATGCCCCTTGTACGGCAATGCTAACAGGAGCCGGACTTGCCCAAGTTGTCCGAGATGATGTCGTTGGACGCCAGGGGCAAGCGCTGCTTGTTCACCTGTAAGCACAGGCTCTGCAAGCTGCCAGCATGACAAACTTGATGCGGTGCCAATGTGTGCTAATGGTCAATGCCTTGCCGAAGCCGCGCTTGTAGACGAGCTCTCGCACCGTCTTCAGCGACGGGTAGCCGTAGGTCACGTATGGCTGGACAAGCTTCAGCATGTTGAGGATGGGCTTGTTCACCTTTGCGGTTGCCATTGCCACTTCGGCGCGCAAAGGCAGGATCTGCCAGTCAGCTGCAGGCCTTCAGGAACACGCCGTTGTGCAGCTGCTTCAGTCGCAGCAGCTGAAGCACTTTCCTGCACACCAAGTTTAGTGGGAAGCCAGAGGAGCTTCCCCTCGGATGCACATGCTGCGCCTAGGCTTTGGGCTCATCTTGATGATGCCCGCAATGCGGACCACGAACAGCAGCTTTGCCTAGAAGCAGTTCTGCATGCGGGGAAGGGCACGGATGGGCCGAGATGGCCGAGCATGTTGTCTTTGGATGCTGACCCGCCTCGGGCTCCACGAAGAAGTTTCCGTTGAGCTTGGCCTCTCGGCGGAGCTTCACGAGCTCCGAAGCGCTGTCTGCATACTCCTGTCAGTCAGCACTCTTGACACGGTTGCCAGGCACTGATCATGAGTTCGATTACGGCACTATGCCACTATGCGGCCCTGATGATTCTGTTCCCCGTCCTTCTCGTATGCCTCCGTACGTTCCTTGAGCTTTGCACGCTCCTCCTTTGCAGGCTTTGCTTCGGGATGCTTCGTGTAAGTACTGTGTACATCTGTGTACTAAAACCACGGAGGCATCCTCGCGCTGCTTCTTCTTCTCGTCAAGGGCCTGCTTCTTCTCCTCAGCCGAGGGGGAACCGCGACGTGCACGAGTAGGAAGGCACAGTTGAAGCCCAGGCCCCGCACCGCTGCAAGCTTCTCTTCCCGCGCCTGCTTGAGCTTCACTAGCTCAGGCACCGCTGCGCCCTCGAGCACCGTTGCCTGCATTGTCTTGCGGGTGGGTGGGCTACGTGACGGCGCATGAGCGCGCTTGCTCACAATCTCTCACTGCTTGGCACCTTGGAGATCAGATACCGTTCAGCCATCTCTGATGATCAGCCCAAGTGCTTGAGCAGCATGGACTCATGCACATTGCTGGCTGGCTACAGCAATCTTCAGACTTGGCTTTATTGGGGCGCGTCCTCCGGTCGTTTTTCCTTTCCGCGGCAAAATCTGCAAATCCTAACCTCTGTAACTTGCACAAGGAGCGAGCTAGCGTTCAATGTGCGCACTGCAGGCCCCTGCATAAGTGGGACGTGGAGACATATGCTTGGCAAGCTTTGAGGCAACATGCCTTCAAAGTTGCAGAAACTGCGGTGGAGGTTTGCTACCTGCCCTGACACGAAGCACAACTGTGCTAGCACACACCGCAGCTTCACTACTTTATGAACATGAAGCGCGCAGGATCGCAGCGAGCTGGGGCAAACTAGGCACTATCGCGGCAAGCTTCCAAAGCCGCCAAACCTTGGTTGCCGTATGCTGCCATACACAGCGAAGCTCTTGCACCTCTTACAGTTTGCAGACAGACTCATGTACAGGTCTCTTCATGTAAAAGCAGCTGCCCAGGTGGAGCCCCCATGGAGGGATTCTTGCCGAAAGCCCTGCAAGCAGTGGAGACTTGGATAGACTCGGTATGCCAAACTATCAGAGAGAGACAGAGCCTTCCAAAAGATCTGCGGCTTTCGACTAGCTTGTCCTGCTCCTGCTTCTGTACCAGATAACGCCTGAACCCACTGCGCTGTTGTCTTTGAAATGCATGCTTCATGCATTGTGAGTGTGTTTGCAGGAGCAAGAATTATCTCGTCAACAAGCAAATGCCTGCCAACATCTTGATCTCCGCCACCGTACTTTTCAACAAACCTGGCTCTATGCGCACACAGCCGAATACAGCTGGCGGGCTAGTGTTGGTTGCGTTGAGAGGTGTTCTTGAGCTATGAACGTGTATCGTTGCGGAAGGCCGTTCAAGAACAAATTGCCGACTCTGTACCCCTCAAAGCGTGTGTAATGCGACAGCCGCACTTGCGGAGGTCGGTTGGGCAGCATGCGGCCGCCTGACTTGTTGACATGTGCAGCTCTGCTGCTAGACTAGCCTCTTTGAACGATGAGTCTGCTGTTTGCTGCTGCCTTCAGAAACTCGAGGAGGTCTGCAAGCTCCTCTGCAGGCAAGAATGGTAAACAATGTCATTGGACGCTGCGACCATGCGCAAAAATTGTGATGTGGGACAGAGGCAGCGGCAGTGTCGCTGGTGTCGCCCTCGAAGGGCCGGATGACAATGCCGTTGGCCGGCTGGCAACCATTTGCAGATTGGCAGACGAAAAGTAAAAGCATGTGATGCAACTCACAATTTGACGCTCTCTGCATCGCTCAACAACAAGGTCAGCGTTCAGAGTCAGAACATCCATGTTACGCTTCTACTAAACGCTTCCATCCGCCGCAAAGCCCAGCATCAGACTGAATGCCTGTAGCTGGAAAGCAGCTGGATCGTGGTCGATCATGAGGGTCTGGGCTCCAAACATATGCCATGTGTGCGCGCAGCTTAGAGACTGTGTATCTCATCCCAAATGGGGTGAGGGACCAAACAAAATTCATCAAAAAAGATGCGCCCAGCGCATCAAAAACACTTTCTCAAGCATCAAAAACAAACTTTTTTGTACTAACTCTAATATGGGCCAGGACAAGGGCAAGCATAAAGAAACAACTTATTTCGTTGACCTCTTAGTAGTAGTAGTCGTCGTCGTCGTCGTAGTAGGTAGTAGCAGCAATAGTAGGAGTGCTAGTGGTTAATGAAAAATACCTAAAAACATGTAGATTATGAAAACTTCGGCAAAGTAAGCAATAAAAATTTGAAACCTCGGGAAAATTCATGAAAATAATGAAACATGTGAAAAACACAGCAGAATATTGAAAAAAAAAAACAACAACAACGAAAACACTGAACATTTATGAAACGTGAAAGGTAATGAGAAATGATGAAGAAAGGATGAATCAGACGCATGATGAACATGATGAGAAACATGCAAATAATGATGAATAATGATAAATGGTGAACCATGACGAGCCATGATGAACATGATAAGAAACATGAAAATCATGTAAATAATGAGAACATCATGAGAAAATCATGATGATAATGATGAACGATGATAGATGGTGACACATGATGAAACATTACGAAGCATGAGGAAACATGTGGAAACATGATGAAAACCATGACAAATCATGACAATTCATGAAATTTCCTGACAAGTCAGGAACAACAATGAAAAATTCTGAAACATGGTGGAAAATATGAAGATGGCGAAAATGAGGAACATCATGAAAAGGACGAATAGATAAAGAGGAAACTGATTAACAGTTATTGTGAGAAAGGTGAACATGATGACAAAAGCTTGCGTGAATAAGCTTTGTAAAAACAGCCCGCGGCGGGGGGGGGCGCAACGCTCCCAATTGCAAAACCGGCTCTTTAATTTGGCAATGTCATGAAATTAAAGATGAGAAGAGGGCGAACATGATCAACAAAAGGGATGAACAATGATGAAAATGTATAAAGATAATGAAAGATGAGTAAATTGATGGAAAATGCTGGAAATTACAATGGAAATTCTGAAAAAAATGTGACAGAATGTGAAAATAATGAGAAATCATCACAATGATAAAATGAAAAATGATAACAGAATTATGATAAATCGTGAAACATGATGAACATCATGCAAAACAATGAAACATAATGAAAACATAGCGACACACCCCTGAGCAATGATCAAAAACATCCCCATGAAGAGCGAACCGCACCGTCACAATCAGGCCGAGGTACTGGAAGTGCTACCAGGGCCATCGAATTTGAGATGGATCATAGAAAAGTGTGTCGCGTTTTTTTTGTGTTTTAGTTTGGGGTTTGTGCGAAACTGTGGTTTCGGCAAGATATTGGGTGCCGGCCTTCTGGAGTACCCGTTTGCTTTTGACGCGCTCGTGTCAGAGTCGCGCTTTTCGCTTCAGGGCCTTGCCTGTCGCGAGCAAAAGCTGGCAATGTTTCTCAAATCGCCACTGCCACTGCCGCACATACTGCAGCAGTACCGGGTTTGGCTTGCTTCGCTGACAGAGCGCAAACCATCGGGCACCCACGACTTGATCTGCTGCCACACAGCATCTGATTATGGTTTGGGCATGGATGCTTTGGTTACCGTATGCTCTGGGAACACGAACGTTATTATGGTTTGATGCTTTGGTTATCGGACGCACTCGGAACACGAACGTTATTATGGTTTGGGCATGAATGCTCTGGTTATCGTATGCACCCGGAACACGAACGTTATTATGGTTTGAGCATGGATGCTCCAGTTATCGGATGCACTGGGATCACGAGCGTTGTTATGGTTTGGGCAGAAGGTCTCAGGGGCTCTGGGTCTTTTATGCCAACAGCACGCTACTACCCCCTTCACCCCCCCCAACGCAAAGCTCAGAAACCCCGCAAAACAGAGTACAGAAATCCGCCCGTGTGCAAAACACGGAGGATTGAAATAACATCATGTAATGTCATGAAAATGATGACAATGAATGTGATGAAAAATGTGAGAATTATGAAAATTATGAAAACTGATGAAATGTGATGAGCAATCCTTCCTTCCTTCCTTCCTTCCTGTTGCCCTTTTGCCAGAGTGTAGGGCCGAGACCCAAGCATCAACAAACATTCCGGATTGGTTTACTACCCAGGAAATAAGCCATATCTTTATTTGATGCTTGACATTTGGTTTTCATGCTTAAACGTGTTTGATGCTTATAAAATTGTTCTTAAACCCCTCTCTCATCTCAAACAAGTGTGCAAACGTTCGAATCCAGGAGGCGCGGTCCAACCTGCGTCCCAACTTCGAGAGATCCTCGCGTGCAGTTGCCGTGCTACCTTGAGAGACTACAAGTAGCATCTTCACGCACACAAGCAGCAGAGCATCCTTCACGAAGTGATTTCGCTTCCTAAGTCCAGTCACTCCCAAAGCTGACAAGGTCTTCGCGGCTTTTCGGCAACGTGTCAACTTGCCATGCCGCTCACTGCCAAGACGCTTCTTGCAGAAATCTCGATGGAGAACACCAGAGATCTTCGCAAGGTGTGATAGTTTGCCACATTTTCGTATCACTAAGAAGCTAGCTGAAAATGATCTGACTCCACCAAGTCTGGCACGGGAAGGTTCCACTTTGACACAATGTCCAAAGCCACCTAGCAAAGCAAGAGCTGGTCTCTGCTTTGCATTGCAGGTCTGTTTGGGGCCGCGCTGGAAACACATCGTCCGAAAAGATCACCAACTCGTAGTAGTGGCAGATCTCCTTGTGCAAAGCGAGTTTATGAAGGTTTTTCAGCAGCAACACGGACGCCCCGTGTTTCAAGCGTCAAGATACGCAGTGGTTCATTTGAAAGGTTTGGCTCTCGGTGGCTTCTTGACTTGTGCATGTAGTGTTAACGAGCGAGTAGAGGAAGACGGGACCAAAGGTCCATCAGGAATAGAATTGCCTGATGGCTGGAATGGAATTGCTTGATGGCTGGAATGGAATGTACGACATCTTCAGCATCACGTGAAGCTCTCAGCGTTGGTCGTGTTTGTCGGCTCTTGACATTGAAGCGATCCGGTGTCTCACTGTTCACAGGGTTGTGCCCTGCAAGCATGCTCTGCGATTGCAGTGAAGTACCGCCATCTGTACACATCATGCATCTTAGCTGTCTTCAAAGGCTATGGATCCTTGAAGAACTGGTCTGCGAAGGGTCTCTTCACAACTTGCCAGCCCTGGCAGTACGCATCAGTGCTGATCTAGCAGTTTAGCAACATCACCGGATTCGTACCTGCTTGCTCTCATGATGAAGGTGAAGGATCACCTGACTCACCGTGGCTCATTGGTGCTGAGCATGGCATCAAACAAACGCACATCGTTCATGCAAATCTTAAGAATGCATCCAAAACTGTCCTGGTGCCTTGTCCAAGTCAAGCACCAATGTGGGGAGCATCTCATCGTACTTCATGGTCTGCCGATCAAGCAGCCACGGCTCCTTGTGCCATCATCGTTTTGCTCGGGCTTGGATGCATATTTGATCTGGCAGGTGCAAATACCAAAGCGTCCTGGCGCTTGCCCAGAAGTCTATCTCCGGTGTTCTCGAAGAACTCGCGAGAGGTGTCGTTGAAATCCTGGATGGGACTTACATCATTCAGCTCTGATTCAAGACAAACTTCTCAGCGACTCCTCAAAGGCTGCAGTCAGCTTCTTGACAAATTCATCTACAGGACCACGCACGCTGTCTGATGCAGCATAGGCCTGAAGTTGGGTTGCTTCATCTGGATTGTGAATTCTTGGCACGCCGTTCGATGGTGGAAACTTAGATGCCGGCAACTCCTGCACCCCCTACGGCGGCGCCGAGCACCTGACGATCGACAATTCTTGAATCTTCTTGACCCATCCCCCACATCAGCAATGCTATAACGCAGAGCAAATCCTTCAGGCTTGTGCCCTTCCCGCCGTTACCATCTCCTTTCGCCTGGCTGCTGGCCTTGCAGTTTCAGCATATCTTGATCTCAGTAGCTTTGTGGAGACACCAAGCTGAAATCGACGTCGACTGCAATGAAACAATAGTGAAGCTCGCTAGCACAGAGGCTTTCGCATCCTGCTTGAGATCGCATTGTGCCTTTCTTTTTTTACTCTATCGGCACAAGCAGAGACGGAATGCAGCAGCTCTCTTGCGAGTCCGTTTTTGACAGCTCCGCTTGACTCTGCTCTCCCGCGGCCTAGGCCGCGCTTTGGGCGCTTCCGTCGCCTTGCGCATGGTTTCGCTCCCTTGCACTCCGCTTTTGGCCTCACACAACTGCAATGCCCTCCACACCTCTGCGGCGAGGGTCTGCCATCCTCAGAGTTTGCGACGCATCTCCGCATATCTTCTTTGCATTATCAGTCATGCAGCATGCGCAAGGCCCGTCGCTATGCTGGTGACTTTCTCACCTAATCCTAACAGGGCGCATCCATCACTTGTTGCAGGAGCCAGTCTTGACAAGCCATTAGCCAAGCCCCCATTTCATTCTCAGCCAAGTCCTACGCTCGCACATGGAAGAGTGCCACAGTTGTTGTTGAGAATCCCTCACCGGTACCCTACATGGGCATGGCTTTGTTGACATACAGTTTACGAGCAGGCAAGTGACGCGAACCTGGCTTGAGCCTTTGTGGGAAATGCGGGTCCCAATCACTAGACCAAATACGTTTAGCTCAAAAGCAGTTTTCCTTAGTGAGTCCATGACAATTATGCTTTGGGTTGTGGTCTCTTGCATGTTCTTGGGACATGGTCCGATGCTTAAGAAGCCAGCGGAGTGCTTGCAATTACACATTGCGCTAGTTGTTGTATTCATGGCGCTGGACAAGCCTACGAACTGGCGATGTGTAGATCAGCACGTGGAATTTGGTGACATTGCTATTTCAGGCAAATGCTGAGCAGATGTCAGTATGCACACTATTTCTGTGACATGGCTGAGCGTCGGAAGCGCAGGCTGCGTGGGGTTGCCCCCAACGAAGCAGCAGCACGACCAAGGCGCCACATGATGATGAGGGTAATGTGTTTTGGAGGATGGTTCAGTCTGTTGGGCTGAAGGTTTGTGTAGCGTACCTGCAACATTTTTCTAGGCCTTTTTGGACTCCGTGGCGGAATGTGGAAGGTTGTTTTAGATTCGAAAATGTCAGCTTATTGTTTGGGAGACTCTTTTGCCAGCCTGTTGCCAAAATGAGCTTCCATGGAGCATGCTCACAACCCCGCAGCTGAAGTAAACCACAGCCGGAGCCAGAGTATGAGCCACCAATTAGTGCAGGAGGGTCATGATGTAAATCTTCGTTGAACGCAAGCCGAAGTGATCTTTGCCGCTACCCTAACGTTTTGCCCAACCTTCCAGAGAAAGCCACATGAAGTTTTGGAAAGCTTCCGACATATCCGGGACATTCCGGGACATTCTGCTTCCTTATTTTTCTAGCGAGCACTGCGAGCTCCCTCCAGAACCGGGCAGAATGAACTTCGGAGGCCAAGATCTATGTACATACATGTGACTCAAACAAAGCACCACGTCAATTGTGATTGGATTACCTCACGTATTACCTGGAGAAGGCT